CTGCGACGTCAAGAGGAAAGGTTTACTAGGCATAGAAAGGGCCTGGGCTAGGAATGGGACCAGAACAACGGCAGCAATCCAGGTGCGTCCTGGAGGGGACGGGCAGGAGGACAGATGGGTGATTCTTAGCTCGTGCAGCTTCGGGCTGCAGTCGAATCTCGATTTATAGGTGAAGTCGCAGGGCCCAGAGAGGAAAGCGAGTTATTGATACCACTGAGACAGATGCCGGTAGACCGGGACCCAGGCCTCCTCCACGCGTGGCTGGGCTTGCTCTGCCACCACACCCCCATCCTCCAGACCCCCCAAGCCTGGTCCCGCAGGGCCAGAAACAGCCTGAGCCCAGGGACAGGTCCAGAGATTTGGTGACATCCCTGTGACTGAGCTCTGAGGACGAGCTCAGGGAAAATAAGCATGCCCTCCTCGCGTATGCTGTGGTGCTCTCTTCTGGGGCAGGTGAGTGTGGGACCCACAAACATTGAGTGCCTACTGTGTACCAGGCGGCATAAGGGCTTAAAAATGATGAGTGGGGAATGGCATCTATTCCCCAGGGGCTGGAGATCCTCAAAGGAGACACAAGCACTGACATAGCTAACTTCCCCAAGGCATGCTGGGACAGCCTGTGACAGCCCCAAGGCCTGGCACATAGTAGGTGCTCAGAAAATGGTAGTGCACAGGAAGCAGCCATAAATGGTAGCAGCTATCAGCTGTGTTAGACATCGAGTCTAGAGCCCACAGCCTGTGTGTGTATCTGTGTGTATACATGTGTATGTGTGTGTATGTGTGTATGTCTCTCTGTGTGTATGTATGTGTGTATGTGTCTGTGTGCGTATCTGTGTGTACGTGTGTGTCTGTATGTTTCTGTGTATGTATGTGTCTGTGTGTGTCTGTGTATGTATGTATGTGTATCTGTGTGTATCTGTGTATGTGTCTGTGTATATGTGTGTCTGTGTATGTGTCTGTATGTGTCTGTGTATATGTGTATGTGTGTATGTGTCTGTATGTGTCTTTGTGTATATGTGTGTGTGAGAAATGGTAATAGCAGTTCATGCTTACCAAGTACTTATTATGTACCAGGCACTGATCTAAATAATTTATATGTTTTATTTCATTTAATCTTTGCATCAACCCATGGGGTAGGTACTATTATTGTCCCCATTTTACAGATGGAGAAACTGAGGCGCGGGAGGCTAATTTGCTTATTGTCCTGTAATTGTAATGTAATCGTACTTGGCAGATCTGGAATTTAAACTTAGGTCGTCACATCATCTACCACCCTGTCCTCTCCCAGCAGGGCTGGAGATGGAGCCGCCCTCCCCAGCCAGGATCTGTCTGCAGGACCCTGTAGACCACTGGCCATGCATCCAGGACATCAGTGGACGGTGGGAGTGACAGGGGTGGCACATGTGTGTAGGTCGAAAGAGGCTCAAGCATTGCAGGGACCCTGCCCTCGGGTCTGAGGGGACCCTGGTGACAGTAGCAAGGTTCATACAGCACTTTCTGTACCCACGCACTGCTGTAGGTACTTGATCGACGCCTTCAGTCCTCACACGGCCTGCAAGGCCCATCCTGCCCCGTCCCCCACTGAACAGCTGGGGCTGACGCAGAGGTGGAGGTAACTCGCCCAAGGTCCAGAGCCACTAAGGGGCATCACCTGCATTCTGGACACGGCCTGTTCTCAGCCACCACGCGTCCCGCGGCTTGCTAAAATGTCCCCAGCGGGCCGGGATGTCAGAAGCAGGGCTGAGGCGGGATGGTGGAAAGGGGGAAGGTGAGAGAACACAGTACACGCTTCTCGGTGGGGTCAGGAGAGGGCAGTGGCCAGCCCAGTCACGTGGCTGGACTGTCAGAGCCCGTCTGGGACTCCCTTTCCGAGACAGCAGGGGGGTGAGCAGCAGTGCCAAGAGTGCTTACCAAAGTGCCTGTGTCGAGTTATAGGAGTCGGAGAAGAAGGAGGCCAGGGTGGCTGCACCCTAACCCAGCCCCTCCCAGGCGGTCAGCTCGTGCAGGGGCTGGGGTCAGAAAGAGCTGAGGGGACTCACACCCTCTAGGAGCAGCTGCCGTGTAACCCCAGGCCCCTGTAGGATGGCTGCCCCCTGCTCGGCTCCACCAGGTCCCGGAGAAGGAGTCAGCCACCAGGGAAATCAGGGGTGTCACGGGTCTCACCTCCACGCTCCCCAGGAGACTCCCCCCGCAGCACCCCTGCCCCGCCCCCAGGTCCCAGACACGCAGTGGCCCAATTGCCAAATACGGCGATCCAAGCCTTGGGTATTTGCTATCAATATTTCATGCTTCAGACAATACTGTCTAAACAACATGATGAAATATGGAAGGATTGAGGTTTTGACAAGCAAATAGTGCAGGCAGAATACCAGGCGATGGGGAGGGGAGGGGGACAATGAAGTCTGGAGGGACCACAGGGACACCACCTGCATCCCTGGAGTCAAGCCCAGGGATTGTGGGATGACTGTCCTCCATGCATAGAGTCACCAGGGGCCAGTGTGCTGAGTACAGGGCTGAGCTGGGGTCTATGTCTGCAGTCCAGGGAAGGTACTCTACAGACTGTCCTACAGGTCATTGGGGCTTTGGGGAGGGACCAAGGGAAAAGGCAGCGTAGGGTGGCGCTTGCTTAGAGCACCCGAAGGCCATTGCCTCCCAGCTAGGGAGAGGGCGCAGGAGGTAGGCCAGTGGTCCGGGTCTCCAGGGTCAGAGGGAGGGGAGGGTGGGCAGGACACCGGTGGTCTTCCTTCTCAGATTTCCCTCCCTCCTCCCCCGAGCTGGTCAAGCCCCCTACCCGGCCCCACCCTGCCTGGTGCTCAGTGTGTCGAAGCAGCTCCTCTGGCCTCTGTCTCCGGCCATCGCTGGCTCTCCTGGGGACCAGCCACAGCACCCCTACGCTGTTCCCTCTGGACTGGCTCCCCCAGCCCCTGAGCCGCGTGGGCAGGGGGGACACGCAGCCTGGGCGAAACGTGAAAGTCCTGCAGTCTTGGGCCCTCTCGGCCCCTCCACCTGCAGAGGCCTCTGGTCCTAGGACCCTCATCCCCAAGCTCCGTGCCCCCTGGCCGCTCTCTCTGCGAGGTCTCCAACACTCAGGCCTCAACTTCTCCACGTATGAAACGAAGGGGCTGGACATGATTTTCTCTGAGGTCTCTTCGAACCCTGACACTCGGCAGATTCACGATTCACTGCCTGCTCTCGCTGTCCTTGGCAGAGACCCCAGAGATCAGGGTCTTGCTGTCTGCAGTCAGAGAGCAGTTGGAGGTGTCAGTGGGCTAATCTGACAAGCTGGAACACAGATGGGCCCAGCTGAGGAGCATGCGGGGACTTCTTTGGCCGAGGGTGGGGATGGGGGAGCCACCGAGACCAGGGCTGGCTTCCGACGGGGGGCCAGGAGATGCACGCCTGGTGTCTGGTGTGTCCTGGGGACATTGACCCACTCGAGCTTGTTTGGAAAGTTCAGTGGGCACAGGGGGAGCCAGGGCAGCAGGGGTGACTGGGCAGGGTCTTGCTAGCTGCCAGGTGAGCGGCTCGTTGTGACTCTATGTGCAGCTGGTCCCTGAGGTCAGGGCCCAGCCCGGTGGTTCTCCAGCAAGAGCCGTGTTAGCTGCTCCCTGGGGCTCCAAGAAGCAGGAGCGGGAGCAGGGCTCTGGTGCTGTGGAAGTTTTCAGTACAAACCAGAGCCCTCCCTGAAAGCCACCTGTAGCAATGAGAAGGACTCGGGTGCCAGGGCTCTCCAGACATGCCGCATCCCAGGCTTGCGGTGGACAGGCTGACTCCAGGCCACCGACCATGGTGCATGTCAGATGGCTCTTCTGGGGTCTGCCTTGCCTGGAGGCCTGGGCAAAGCGGAGGCAACGGCTTCAGAATCAGCTTCTGTGTTTGGAGGGGCCGGAGGACCACACCAGCCATAACATGGGCCTCATCTGCCCTGATGGCATTCAGGCCCGGCAGTGGGCGTGGCTGTGGCAGCAGGGTGAGTGTTGGGAGGGCAGTGGCAGCCCCTCAGAGCTCGCACCTGCCCCCAACCCAGGCCAGGACTGAGCAGAGAGAAGTCTCCAGTTGCTTCAACTAGATCCCTTCTAAGAAAGTGACAGGCTTGATGGTAGCTGCTGATTTCCTGAGCTTTCAGAATCGGTGGGGGTGGCAGGTGGGGGCTTTCTGTAATCCTTCACTGATGGATTAGATGGTGGGGCGGATCTCTCAAGAGCAAAAGGTGACCTTGAGAAAATGCGGGTTCTGTCAAAGGAAAAGAGAAGTAATCTCCCTTCCTCAAACTGCTGTCAATAAGCCTCGTCGGCGCCGCAGCAGTTACGGGAGACTTAGCTTTCCGCGGAGCTCCCCACCTCGGGAGGCTGCAGCATTTGACTGCGTGATAAGAAATTGCCAGGCACTTTCTAATTACAATTATCATCATCGTGGATGTCTCTCTTAATTACTTTCTTATAATTAGCTGTTGCTTTTTTCCTCAGCATTTGTGTACTTTGCAGATTTGCTGACATTTGAGAGCCCCAAAATAGGGACATTTGGGGAGGAGGGCAGGAAGGTGGGGGAAAGGGAGAGGAACCTCTTCTTGTCAGGTGGCCTGGTACGGCCGAGGCCTCTGCAGAAAGAAATGGGGGGAAGCCAAAGACGAGAGGGACAGGTCATTCCTGAGCAGGCGGGGAAAGCGAGCAGGAGTGTGGACTTCCGGGTTGCGGTGGGTGGAGGTCTCCAGTGTTAAACATGGGAGGAAACGTTCTTGAAAAGCCACCAAGGAGACCGTTTCTTGGGCTTGGGTTTCATTTTAGGAAACGAGGCTGGGATGAAGGGCACTCCTGTCGGATGCATTTTGGAGCTAATTAAATGACTCAGGTCAGGTGTAGCTGGCTTTTCCCCCAAGCCGGTGATGCGTTCTGGGCGTCCCCGGGCACTGGGAGTTTTGCAAAGTGGATTGTGCTGCTTGACACGATGGCCGGTGTTCACTCTTTGTTCTCGTTCTTCCTCCCGCTCCCCGCGCCCCTCAGCCCTGTGTACGGAGGAGTGTGTGCACGGCCGCTGCGTCTCCCCGGACACCTGCCACTGCGAGCCTGGCTGGGGAGGGCCCGACTGCTCCAGCGGTGAGTCTGGGATCTTTGGGGGTTCGGTGGCCCCCTGGTGCTGACTTAGGTGGGGGGGCTGTGTTGTGTGCATGTTAAGCTCTTGTGTTGGGCTGGGGTGACCCTGGATGGGCTGCCTGAGCCAGCATGGGTGGTGGAGGCGGGGAGGCACCCCTGCAGTGAACACATGGTGGGACCAGGGGAGCAGAGGGCTCTAGGGGGTGGGGGCAGTGGTTTCTGCGGGGGGGTCTATGGGAGTCTGTGTTGTATGAATAGGGAACTGGGGGCTTATCTGCACGACCCTGACCTTTGATGGAACACCGCTACATGTGGCCTTCGAGGGTGGAAGTGAAATTGACACACGCCCGAGAGTGCAGACCCAGGAGGGCACCGTGGTCTGGGCCTGATACTCCATTTCCCTGGCCCAAAGGCTCAGTTTTGTGGGTGCCTGTGGAGGCTCAGAGGGGTTGAGACTGGTGACCACTGGGATATCTCTGTGTCCCCAAAAGTAGAACAGGACACTCGTGGGGGCAGGTCGCTGTGTTCCTACGTTTCTGTGGGTAAACAGTTCACGGTCTCCAGGGAGGCCTTCCCGGTGAGCATGGAGTGAGGCAGACGCTCTTGGGGCTGACCCCGTGACCCACAGTGGCACCGGGCATTGTCTCTACTGTGGGGCTCACACCAAGAGGATGGGGTATACCTGGCAGCTTCTTGGGAGATTCTCTGCCAAGAACCAAGATGAAGATGAATCCTTCCCCTGTAGCTCATTTCCCCCAAATATTTGCAGATGACCCCCTTGCCTTGGGCACATTATACAGTCAATGGTTGTTCCATGTCATGGTCTTATTTGATTTTCAAAGAGGCCTTGACTAGTGTTGAAGCCCAAATTTCTTCCTGCTTTGAGTTGGGGTAGAGAGTCGTTTTATGGCGACTTGAGTAGATAACATAGCCAAGCCGATCTGTTACGAATCTAGGCCCCATTGCTTACCTATCTCAGGGAGCCACCTCTGTGTTCCCTACCCCACACTGACTGCAATGGCCACGAAAACTTGGAGAGGAGAGTGTTGGGTCCACATTGGCCCAGTGTGGCACTCTTGCCCTTCCCCACTCTCTCTGCTGGTGAGGAAACATCTAGTTATGGTTCTTCTTTCCAAAGGCCTTGACTGGAGCCTCCCTGGGTACCAAACACATGAGAACACACATGATGATTGAGTGTGTGGTTTTGAGCCTGGGTGATTACCTTGGCTCAGGGAGTCCAGGATCTACTGGGGTACCCAAGAGACTCTCTGATGTGTCGAGATCTCCAGTGGCCATGGTGGCCACCTCCTTCCACCTGTTCCACTGCTCTTGAGTGGGCCATGGCTGAGACACAGGATGGGACAAAATAAACCTGTGGGAACGTGAGCTAGAGGGATGTGCTCAACTGATCTTGAGCTCAACCGGTGAACTTGCGCTACAGAAAACATGTCAAGTGAAATGTCTGAGCTTTTTCCTCCTTATCTGTGTTTTGTTTAGTGTAACTTTGCTTACAATGAGTCTCTGATGTGGAAATATCTAACTTGGGTTCGGTGAACGCTTCTGTTGGATTCTGATGCCGAGGGCAGCCTGTTGGAGGTTGAAGTACAGCCTGGGTCGCGGGGCTCTGAGTGCATATAAATCACCCGTCAGTGCAAGTGTGTTTAGTGCTCGCTGTACGCTCAGGCTGTGCTGGGCCGAGGGCAGGCCGAGGGTCTTTTAGACACGGTCTGTGTCTTCTCAGTTTCCAGTCTAGTGGAAGAGATGGAATGCAGGTGGCGTTTGATGAACAGGACTGAGCACATTAGAGTAGGTCTTGCCCCAGAGCGAATTTACCAAGCACGCAGGGAAACAGCCTTATTTCCCTTCACAGCACTAAACTGGGCTAATTTAACCCCCGGTTCAGTCACCAGACTTGGTGCTGACCGATCCAAAATCTGTTTCCTCTCAATTAAACTTACCCTCTTGGGCTGAAGAGCCACCACTCCTGGGTCTACTCAAAGGCAAGTACTACTGAGCCCATAGGAAGTTCTAAAAGACGGGTTTCAACCCCGTTTTGAGGGACAGCAGCATTGAATTAAAGGAATTCGTAGGTTCTCACACCTTGAATATCATGCAGAGCATTGAACATACAGATGCCCTACTAAAAGCTTTCCAACCTCTGCTTGGATCCCTCCAGTAACAAGGAGCTCACCACCTCCCATGGAGGCGCATTCTCACTGTTGGAAAGTTTTCTCCTCTGTCCGGTGGAAATCTATGTAGCTTCTACTGGCTGGTTCTCATGCGTGACACAGGCCAGGGCAGGGTGATGGCACTGTGACCTTCCTTGCCATGCCTGTCATCAGACAAGGCCACAGACTGTGTGTATAGAGACAGTCCTCTCAGGGCAGTTGATAAGAGCCATTGAGGTGCGTAGGAGAAACCGCAGCCCCCTTCCACGGGTCAGCCCTTCAGGTACGAAAAAACATTTCTGTCCCCAAGCTTTTCTCTCAGCTCCTGTGTTTCTCATGCCATATCATCTGGACTGTCTTCCCTGTCTGGTTTCTCTCCGTGGGCTGTGGCCTTTCTTCTTAAATTATCCTTCCTACGTCTGACCACACAACTGCAAGCTTGGTCTAACCAGAATGGAAAAATAATAATGGAGAGACCTACTATTTACTGAATTTTACTACGGTGGGCACTCTATTTACTTATGTACTCTTTTAATCTTCACAACTCTTCTGTGGTGTAGGAATAATTACTTAGCCTCATTTTACAAATGAGAAAATTGAAACACAAAGAGGTTAAAGAACGTCCAACAGACACACAGCTCATAAATAGAGAGACTGACACCATCACCCAAGCAAAAACCTAGGTCCTGAACCTGAGCTCTTCATTATTATACTCTCCTTCCTTCTGGATGCTCAACCTTGGTTAATACAGCCCAAGGATGAAATAGATCTTTGATGAGAAAACGTGATTGCTTACAGGTGAAGGAGGCTCTGCTGAAGAGATGGGACCCCGAGATATTGTTGTGGAGACAGAGGAATCAGCCATGGGACACAAATTGTTCACAGGTTTACTCCAAGCAGTTTGAGCCTGCTCGCTCTGTGCCA